TAATTTATTTGCCAACAACAATATATAGTTTTACCAACAAAAAAAAAAAAAAAAAAAAAACACATATAATCATTTTTTTTTTTAAGTTTCATTTTTCTTAAACTAATAAATTATTTTACCTAAAAAAATTATTATGAAGCCTTATTTTAAATTTAAATAGTAGAAATAAATATTAAACAATTATGTTATTCTTTAATAAAAATAGATATCATCAAACACAAATTAATTTATTTTTTTAGCATTTGAAATCATAAGAGTAGTTTTGATATGTATAATCACATTCTTTTCACTTTTATACTATCCAAACCAACTAACTAATATTTTCCTACAATTTTCTTGAATAAATTTTCATGTTAACCAAATATATGCTAAAAATTTTATTTTCTTTTCATTCACTTCAGTTTCGTTTGGTTAGATAGAATCAACTAGAAAATAAAGGAAATAGAAAATATTGAAATCTAGGAGTTCGTCTAGATAGAAAAAGAAAAGTTCTAGAAAATTAAAATTCTCGTAACCCTCTATTTTACTCAAAACGTTTACGGCATAAATACAAGAAAATTTTATTTTCACGTGAAAACATCTCATTATTTTGTGTTCCTATTTTACCCAGCAACTTCATTGCATTATTTTACATAACAACTTTATTGTATGTTTTTTTTACTAAATTTCAAAGAATTACAGTCCAACAACTTTATTATTGATAGAGTTTTAATTAACTTGACTTTCATTTTTAGTTGCATTCCATCATATATGAATGAAATAAATAGTAGTTTATAATGTCTAAATTAATTGAAAACTATCATTTCTTATATACATACTACTAATTAATTTTTTATTATTTTATCATTTTTATAAAATAAGGACAATTTAGGTATCTAAACTATAATATGATATTTTCATACAATTTTCTTGGATAAATTTCAGCTTAACCAAATATAATATGAATCGTAAACCACTAGTGCGCAACCCGGCTGCAATTTCATCCATTTGGGCACTTGAAACAGACAGGAAACTCCCCAATGAAATGTACAAAACAGAGTCTTGAGGCTGGGAATCTAACCATTTGTGGTAGTTCGTGTCATTGTGGCTAGTCATATGATCAGAGGCACCGTCACCAAGTGTGAAATGAGGTATCAGAGGGCCAAAAGAGTACATGGGCATTGGCATTTTTGCTTTTAAAGCATTGAAGACTTGAGCTTCGAGCTCAAAGATGGAGGTGAACAACAAAAATTGTGCTCTGTCCACATGAGAAATCATTTCGACAGCGTTGTGCAAGAGTTGTTCACTTTCGTAGAAGATTATAGGAAGGTCTACCAAACGGATTGATGATATTCCGGGGATGTAACCCACCCGCTCATCTCCTCTTTCTATCTCGTGAAAACACATACACAACAAATTTTTATTAATCTTTTTTGGCTCATTTTGAATTAAATGTATTACATCATAATGTAAATTTATATATAAAAAAATTTGTATAAAATAAATCATTTGGTATTTGGACACATCGACTGTAATGGTTTTGGCATTCAAGAAATCAATAATGTGAGCATGTTTTAGGAAAAAAAAAAAATTTACTTCATTTCTTTTAAGGATATGATAAACATTAAGCCCGTTTGGAAAGTGATGAACCACTGAAAAATGCTTTTGTTTTGAAATTTTGTTTTTAAAAATGTTGGAAACCGAATTAAAAAAAAAAAAAAAAAAAACACTCTTGTAAAAATGATGGAAATTTTAGCGGATAAAGATAAAATTTGTAACTTTTAGAATTGTATTCAAAATGGATGCCTTGTATCTTTTGTAATTCTTATATAATAACAATCCCATCAAAAGGCATTATTGAAATTAATGGATGTCAAAGCATATGGTGATTTTTTTTTCCCTTAAAGAGAAGGTTGAGTGCTCAAGTCTGGTACAGACCGTGTGTGCATTTGTTTGAACTTTCAAAAAATACAATATTATACAATTAGAAATAAAAGTGCTTAAAAAAGTATTACTGCCAAACAAATTAAAAATTACTTTAATTTTGAAAAGTATACCTACATATTTTTACTGACATCAATTTTTGACAACTTTAGTAATAAAAGCAATTTTCATTGTAACATTAACAATAAGGTTTTGTTTGGTTAGATGGAATCAACTAAAAAAGAAAAGAAATAGAAAACTTTTCAATTTTTTTTAGAGTTTGGATCGAAAGAAAGATAAACCTACAAGAAAATTTCTAACACTTGTTTATTTTCCCTAAGAACTTTTCGTGTACAAAACAGGCAAAGCTTTAAATGAGTTCCTTTTGTATTTGATATTTCTAATTTATCCAAAAATTTAATCGTGCCAAAACAACTTGTAAAAAAAGACGCAATTTGTTTCGTGATTTCTTTCTTTATTTTTTACTAGGTTGGTTTGGCTGTGTGAGCCATATATAGATGGGAGGCTCATCTGATACTTGATAATAATTTATTTGCCAACAACAATATATAGTTTTACCAACAAAAAAAAAAAAAAAAAAAAAACACATATAATCATTTTTTTTTTAAGTTTCATATTTCTTAAACTAATAAATTATTTTACCTAAAAAAATTATTATGAAGCCTTATTTTAAATTTAAATAGTAGAAATAAATATTAAACAATTATGTTATTAAACAATTATGTTATTCTTTAATAAAAATAGATATCATCAAACACAAATTAATTTATTTTTTTAGCATTTGAAATCATAAGAGTAGTTTTGATATGTATAATCACATTCTTTTCACTTTTATACTATCCAAACCAACTAACTAATATTTTCCTACAATTTTCTTGAATAAATTTTCATGCTAACCAAATATATGCTAAAATTTTTATTTTCTTTTCATTCACTTCAGTTTCGTTTGGTTAGATAGAATCAACTAGAAAACAAAGGAAATAGAAAATATGGAAACCTAAGAGTTCGGCTAGATAGAAAAAGAAAAGTTCTAGAAAATTACGTTTACTGCATAAATACAAGAAAATTTTATTTTCCCGTGAAAACATCTTATTATTTTGTGCTCCTGTTTTACCCAACAACTTCATTGCATTATTTTACATAACAACTTTATTGTATGTTTTTTTTACTAAATTTCAAAGAATTACAGTCCAACAACTTTATTATTGATAGGGTTTTAATTAACTTGACTTTCATTTTTAGTTGCATTCCATCATATATGAATGAAATAAATAGTAGTTTATAATGTCTAAATTAATTGAAAACTATCATTTCTTATATACATACTACTAATTAATTTATTATTATTTTATCATTTTTATAAAATAAGGACAATTTAGGTATCTAAACTATAATATGATATTTTCATACAATTTTCTTGGATAAATTTCAGCTTAACCAAATATATACTAGAAAATCACTTTTCTTTTCATTTACTTCACTTTTCTTTTCATTTTCCATTTCCTTTTTTTTCTTACTATTTCCATATAACCAAATCAAGCCTTCATTTTTCTTTCGTTTTCTATTTATTTTCTTTTCTTGCTTATTTCCCATCTGACCAATCGGAGCCCAAGTGAACCTTAAAAACCTTTTCTTGACACAAAGAAAAATAATAATAAAATAAAATAAAATAAGAGTACCAAGAGTGTAATCTGGATGTAGGATATATTTTGGGATTATTACGTATAAATGGTATTAATGACCCATATTTATCATTTAATGACGTCAAAGTCTCATAATTTCGAAAAAAAAAAATGAAGTTGACCAAAATGCTGATGTGAAAATGGAAAAACACAATTTATTTGCCAAAAGGTACCATTTTTAAGTTCATAGGTACTACTTTTTTTTACATGAAGATATTACTTTTTGTGCTGGACAAAAAAAGTACATGTTGAAAAAGTGGTAACTATGTGTACAAAAAATAGTATATATGTGCATAAAAGTGATATCTAATGACAAAAAAGTGGTACCTATCCTTTTGACAATGAGCAGTATTTTTTCATATCAATGTCAATATTTTGGTCATGTAACATAGAACAACACGGGAGCCTTAGGCGAGTTAGGTGGTTGCTTAACACCCCAGTCAATAAGAGGCTCCATAATTTATTATTTCAGTATATATTATAACTTTCCTAAAATAATTATAATATTTTCTTTAATTATTAAACTTCAACATATAGAAAAATTTGACAATTGACCTAAAACATTTCTATTCTTTATTTTTTTTTGCGAGCCCCAAAATTTTTTTTCTTTATACATTATAATTTACCTAAATATTTTATTTTCTTATATCATTAAACCTCAAGAAATACAAAATTTAATAGTATGCGCAAAATATTTCTATCTTTGTATTATCTTCTTTTTGGATTTTTTTTTTTTTTTTACTCTCTCTCTCTCTTATCCTCATTACATCAGCATATATACACAAACATTAAAATTAAATATTAAATATATATTTAAGTGAAAATTGGTGAAATTTCTATATTTTTCTAAGAATCCTTTTAAATTTTATTTTCTCCTTTTTTTTTTTTTTTATTCCTCACATATTTTTTCACCTATCAATAATAAGGCCCCATAATTTTTTATTTTGGTATATATTATAACTTTCCTAAAACAATTATAATATTTTCTTTAATTATTAAGTTTCAACGTATAGAGAAATTTGACAATTGACCTAAAATATTTCTATTCTTTATTTTTTTTATGGGACCCCAAAATTTTTTTCTTTATACATTATAACTTACCTAAATATTTTATTTTCTTATATCATTAAACTTCAACAAATACAAAATTTAATAGTGTGCGCAAAATATTTCTATCCTTGTATTATCTTCTTTTCGTTTTTTTTTTTTTTTTTCCCTCTCTCTCTCTCTCTCATCCTCATTACATCAGCACATATACATAAACATTAAAATTAAATATTAAATATATATTTAAATAAAAATTAGTGAAACTTTCTATATTTTTCTAAGAATCCTATTAATTTTTATTTTCTCTTTTTTTTTTTTTTTTTTTTTTTTATTCCTCACATATTTGTCCTCCACTCTCATTATAATTTTTTTTTTTTTTTTTTCATCTTCTCCACAATTACAATTTACAATCTCATAATCTCAATGTAGAAGAAGATTTTGAATATACTTATATTCTATTAAAGAATTTATTAGAGCATTAGACCAAATTATTCGAAATCAGTTTTTATTATTCTACAACTTAAATTAGTTTATAATTTTATTAATTTTTGTTATTATAAAATTATATATTTTGTTTATAATTTTTATTTATATTGTTAAATATGACTATTTTAATTAACGATAGAACTAGAGTTTGGAAAAATTTTAATGATAGATTTAAAAATTACTAAACAAATAATTAGTTGAAATAAATATATAAATAGATTTAATTAAAAGGCCACTTTCTTTTTCTTTTCTTTTTTTTTCTTTTTTTCCGTCTCTTATTGTATTGAGCCGCCGCCCTAAAACAACAGTCATTTTAGCAGAGTGCATCATGACTTTTCAAAATGCCAACTTGTTCAATACTTACACAAAAATTAGAAATGAGTATTAAAAGAGAATGAAGTTACCATATCATGTCTGGAATTGTAAAATTTATGTAACTTCATTTATGTAATAATTCCATATATTTCTAAGAAGTTTGCGTACCTGACACATCGAAAGGATAATGCTGGTTTTGCACCAAAAGGTCAAAATGGTAAAAGATTGAAAACACCGAAACCGGCATGGGCCAAACTGCAGCCACCGGAATATTCCTCCGATTCCCGACGTTGACCGCACACAGAACAAAAACATCAGCCATGATGATCGTTGGCGGCTGCTCCAGCCGGTCCAGGAGCTGCTCGAACGGCTCCTCCATCTTGGTCAAAACGGCATCGATGAAGCTGGGCATGTCGGCGCCTCGGACCAGCTCGGAAGGCAAGACGTCGGGGATTGTGCGGAACCGAATGTTAGCCGGCTTGGGCTCGAAGCCGATGAAGCCAAGCCACTCCTCCGTGACGACGAAGGTGATCAGAAGATCGTCGCTGCTCCAAGAAACTAGTAGTTTGCAGAGGTTCATCAAAGGGTTGATGTGTCCTCTTCCTGGATAAGGCAAGACCACCACGTGGCATCCACCCATTGGTTCGTGTGAATCTGATGTTCTGCTGTAACGGAGGAGTAGGAGGAGATCTAGAGAGAGAGGAGGAGGAGGAGGAGGAGGAGAGGAGAGTCTATAATTGTGTATACTTGTGTGTGTGTGTGTGTGTGTGTATATTATCTTTCTCTGCAAAGGGGAGTGTATATAAACAACTTCCTGGTCTCAAGAAACTTCATTGGCTATAGTGGCTGCGCCACCTAATATGGGTTTTCTTTACCAATTCATTATAATTATATAGATTTGTGTATTCCTCTTGGTATTGTCCATACTGATTTTATATCATTACTGTTAATATAATAATCTTATTATATTATAACCGTTGTAACAGTGATTAGTGTATATAGCTGTTGTTGCTTTGTAGGTTATAAATATATCTCCACCTTTGTATCAAGTACATTCATTTAATACATCATCAATTCAATATCTATCAATATATCAGATCTCTATTTCTCTCCGTCCCTAATTCTATCTTTGTCTCTCTGTCTCTTATCATCAACCATTACAATCGCAAGCACAAATGTAAATGGTTGAAAATGATTTTGTGATTGACTGGGAATGTACTTTATGAGTAAATGATACCTACGTTTATTTGTCACTTAGAAAAAAAAATTAGATCACACAAATAAGTTTAAAATCATTTCATAATTTATTTATAAAAATATTATTTGGAGGATGAAAATCCAAGATGTGTTTGGATCTCCTATCACACCATAATTGTGGTAGGACACGGATCTAGGAATTTATATGAAGAGGATAAATTTATATAGAGAGGTTTTTTCATAATGTCAGTGCGAGCAATTTCAAAATTTTATGAGTATAAATACAAAAAAGTATAAATTTAAGAGTGTAAAACAGTAAATGGTACGTACGTTTATTTGTCACTAAAGAAAAAAAAATTAGATCACACAAATCGACCTGAGAAATAAGTTTAAGAATCATTTTTCATAATTTATTTATAAAAATATTATTTGGAGGATGAAAATCCAAGACCATATATGAGAGTGTTGATCCTATCACACCATAATTGTGGTAGGACGTATGCCACCATATCATTGAGGGATTGTGTGTTTAATTGTCGGTTTTAAAATTACTACTCTTGATTAATAGTGCGATGTTACATTTGGCCAACCAATTTGAAAGCAGAACAAAACGACAATCCATTATTGGAGTATCAAATCGACACTTTAAATTTATATTTGCAAAATTTTTAATTAAAATTTTGAATTAAATTTTTTCTAATTTTAAATTTAAAGTATCGTTTAAGTGCAACATCAGATAATTTCTAAAGAAACTACTTGTATCATGAATTATAATTGAACTATTGAAGTGCTATGCTATCTACCTCGAACTGCATAAATGTAATAATATATTCACATTTGGATAAATTACACTTACATCCTTTGTAGTTAGGGTGTATTACACTTAATTCTTGTGTTTTGATCATTCCTCGTTACATATGTGTATCAATTTCATTATCGTCCTGATCAACATTGATGTAACAAGTTTAAAGCTTCATATGACAAATATGCTCTTCAAACTACTTTTGTTCAATGCTTGTCGTGCAAAAAAATAATTATACCCCCAAGTAACAATTCGTCAATATAATTTTCTTAAGTTGGGGGTATAATTTTGTTTTACACAATAAGAATTGCATAGAAGTGTTTTCATAGCAATTGAAACGATATATTTGTTATATGAAGTTAAGAAACTTGTAACATCAACGTTGACCATCTCTAACTGTTAATGAAACTGATGACAAAGATCAACTTGTTACACATGCATAACTAGAAGCGACATAAATGCAATTATCCAAGACATAAGGAAGGTAAGTGTAATAAATCTAAATTATAAGTGAAATAAATGTAATTTACCCTTCATAATTTCATATCACCAATGCAAAGGCCATGAAAGTAGCAACAAATGTTTTTTTTTTTGTCCTAACAAACACCAACAATTACAAATCCTAACCTCATCTTTCTTAACAGTGTCAAAATTGTCATGCCCCGGATTTTGAGACCAAAACCCAAAGTGTGATTTGAGGGACTTAAGAATTTAAGGAAAACTATGGTTATTTTACTTTCTAACAAAAAAAAAAAAAAAAACCTTATAACTTCAATGAGTTTGCATTTTAAATTCATGAAGAAAAAAATTCAATTAATAAGATTCATTAATTGCAACTTTTAGTAATATGCCTACTGAACTTTTGGAAGAAACAGAAATCTGTATAAAATCTTAAAATTCCGTAATCAACATATCCAAACACTATACTCAAAATCCCATAATTTAAAAGATATTTCATTAATAAACCATAATCAAATGTTTTCATACCATTACATACCATTAGATACATCTTTAATACCATTACATACCATTAGATACAAGTGATCCAAATAAAACTATTGTCACATAGATTAGACACCTAGAAAACACTAGGTATCAAGTACTGCTCATTCTTCCTTAACCACCTCTCTGGAACAAACTTGGAGTGTAAAATATATAGGGGTGAGCTTATTTAGCTCAGTAGAAATAATCTAACAATGGCATAGATGAGGTTTTGAAATGCATATGAACAAACTACGCCAAAAATTAACTTTTTGTCAAATAAACATAACTTAACAAAATAATTTCAAACTCATATACTGAAAGTACCAAAACCATTGCATTTCTCATTTCAAAAACCGAATAAGGAACAACACCAAACCACAACTCCTTCCCCTATGAACCTATCTCTATTTTCACTCGACTCAATAAATCATTTCTATGAACAGTTTATGCACAACCGAGAGTGTTCCATACTATCACTTCCCCTTCTAATAAGTATGGTACCAGCCCTCCCTACCCATACAAAGGTCTTCCACGTGGGTTCTGGGACTTTCACCTAGGGTAGCTCGTACCCTGTTTCAATCATTTCACCCCTTTCGAATTTCAATACAGCCACAATATCAACCATGACTAGCAGTCTATATTACTGTTGAATACATACTCAATTTTTAGTTATTCTTTAATAAATTAAGTATTTAATATTTAAAATATAACTACTATTTAATTACATTTTTTATTTAGTGTTAACAACATTATTAATGTAAGGAAAATAATAAGAGAATCGAACCAAACAACCGAAGGTCAAATTTAACGTTGCTCAGCTACGTCAGATTATTTTCTAAAAAGATAACTCTTACCTTTTCCCTTCTCTCTCCTCTCTTCCTCTAATTCTCGATTTTTCTTTTGTATTCGATCTTATCTTTGATTTTGATTTTGTCTCTCTTTTGATTTCCTAAAATTGAAGATAAAATAAAAAAAAAAATTAAAATTCTTCATGTTTTGCAAATACAGAATCACAAAACTAAAACAGAACAAAAAATAAATAAATAAATGAAATAAAAACTACAACTGTTGTTTCTCTCCTTCAGATTTTGTATCCATAAAAATCAAATAGAAACTTTGAGAAGATGCATCCGTTTCTCTTCTCTGGATTAATAACAACTCTTGTGTGGATATTTACTTACCCAAAAAAAAAAAAAAAAATCTGCATAGTTTTCATCTGGAATTGGAAAGATTTATTCTTGGAAGATTTATGAATCGAGAAAAGTAAGTAATCTTGAAAAATGAGCTGAGGATAAAGAATTTTGGATCTTGTCTCTAGAATATTTCCGATATGTGTATCTCAAGAGAGGAGATGTATAAGAAGAATTGGTGAAGACCCAGACACAAAGAGGAGAAAGAACGAAGAGGAAGAGAGAGAAAAAGGAAAAACTGGGAAAGAAGAGATGGATGATAAGGAGTTAGGTAATGAAATTATTTGACGTGGATAAAGCCACATAAGATTCGATATTTATTTCGGTAGAAACGTTCGGTTTCTCTAGTGCTCTTAATGTAAATAAATAATTTCTTGTATTAGAGTGGAAGGGTAATGTATAAATTAAATTTGAATATTTAATTAAAGGTATATAAAATACAATGTATTGAAGTGAAAGGGTGTGATTGTAAATCTACAAAGAATCTATAGGGTATTTTAGTCTATTTACAAAAAAAATTTGTGATTTAACAAAGTCAACGAAATCCAAGTCTTTTTACATAATGTCGGAGCTCTGATACTATGTGCATGTGACGGTGGTTGTGTAAAACAGGACAAAAATTGGGGAGTTTTTTAAATGAAAACTAAAATCAAATTCTCTATTTATGTAAAATATTAACCAACCTTGTCAGTGTAATTAATCCTAAATATTAAATTTCTATAATGGAGTCCAACATTTCAATATATTTTATTTTAAGTAAATCTTGCATGCATTTAATATATTTTTTAATAGAATAAGGAACTCCAATCTCAACCTTCTACTTGGAAAGAAAAGGATATGATTAAGTCTTTGGTGTTCATTTTAATGAGCTTTTTCCATAGCTAAATTTATCACTCCAGCATGAAAATTTATTGCATATTTCTTTCGACAGATTTAGACAAGGATACAATTTGATATTGATAAGTGTTACTTGAATATTTGTCTAAGAAAATATTCATTTTAAAACAAAAAAATAACAATAATTTCAATAGCATGACATAAGGTGCACAAAATGACATGGTATTGTATATCCTAACTATATATATATATATATAATTAAAATCCCACAAATGACTGCCAATACTTTTAAGTGCCTGTGCTTATCCTTTTCCATCGTCCACTCTATAGACTAAGATCTTCTGCTGCAAACGGGTCGTGCTGTATCCATATTGTACTGAAAATCGAAATTTTTTTTAAATTGGTAACTTTAGAGTCTGACGGAAAAAGGAACGACGTTAAAATAAAAAAATAAATAAATAAATAAATAAATAAAGGAAAATAAAATAACATTTTCTGCTTCAGCACCTTCTTACCCAAAAAAAAATATCCTCTTCTGCTTCAGCGCCTCCCTCCCTCGTCACCGTCCCGTATGCCATCTCTCTCTCTCTCTCATTACGATGTACCTCAAAATAGCATAGTTGTACTGGGTTGTTCAGGCATCACTTAAAAAATTAAATAGAAAGAAAATAAATATAAAATAAATAAAATAAAATATTCTCAACACCTTTTTTTTTTTTTTTTTTTTTTCTGTTTCTCAACACCTTTAAAAATTTTCTCAACTTATTTAATTTTGTTCTCAACACTTTTTCACATTTTTATCAACACCTTTTAATCTTATTCTCAACACTTTT